CCTACTCTAAATCATTTGAAAAAACTTTCCTTCACTACAGTATACAGTATATGCGTCCATAATGTTGTAAGAATGCAAAAACACAATTTGAAATAAAAAATATTAAAACTGGATACACACAGAGTGCTGATTCAATTTTTGTTTTGCTAACTACCACCATAATGCAATTTCTGTTACTCTACAGCATTCACTATCTATCAAATTTTTTAGTTGCTCCCAATACCTTACCATAAATCATAGACTTTCAATATATATTTATTCAAAAGAATTACAGTATTTATATATTTATATATTTGCATTGCAATATTCTGTCGACCATGCACCGATTATTACTACAGTACATATGTGTGGCTCTAATATCTTCCTCTTCATTGGTCATCAATATGCCCTTAAGTTAGAGAATCCAGTTTGAAATAATGGGCAGTGCTTGTATGGGAATGTAATGTATTCACTAGGGCACAAAATCAGTATAATCATCCAATCATGGAGGTAATACATGGTCTAATTTAGTACTAAAGACTTTATAATGGTCATTTATTTCTCATTACATTATCACCATGGACACCCAATAAAATGATAGAACTGATTTAGTAAATAGTACATTAGAAATAAGATAATTCTATATAATTGGAGTGGAAAATACTAAATAAAAATCAGGTTAACTCCGAGTTTTAGACATAGATGTCAGAAGAATTTGAATGCAATGATTATGAAATTATTTTAATTAAAGCTCTGTCCACACTATCAAATCTTAAGCCTTGTCCAGACTATCAAATTTTATTTGACAAAAACATGTGACATGCCTAAATATGGCCAGGATGACATCACATAATGACCATATATAGGCATACAACAGGTTTTTGTCAAATAAAATTTGATAGTGTGGACAAAGCTTTATGTGACAAAAAATGTGATATGCCCATATTTGGGTGTATGATATCTTTCATCTACAAAGGCTTTTACAATATTCAGTAAGTAGGCCTTTAGCCTTTTAACATATCATAACATACATAAATAAAAAATATATTAAGAAAATTAAAAACATTAAGTATTAGTGAGGATCAAACTCATCATGCCCATATATGGGCACATCTACACACATTTGTCACAACATTTGATAGTATGGGCAGCGTAAGGATAAAAAAAGTTGTGCAATTTCAAGCACAGACCTGATATTTATATGCAGGGTCAATCAGACCAAATAAAAAAGAATTATTGTGTTGGGCACACCCGACCGACCCAAAACGTGCGAAATTGAGGTTCGGCATTTTAGTTTTTTTTTTTTTTTTTTTTTTTGACTACAACAAAAAATATTAAGTTATTGAGGTAAAAAGGATTGGATAGGCTATCGTGCTGGACGATAGACGAGGCAATAGTGTTATCCAATTGTTTTCCTCTTCAATATAGATTTTAAAATATTCTTTGTTGTATTTTTGTGTATTTTCTACTTTTTAGGCATAAACATATTATTGGTTTAAAAAAAAAAAAATTCCTATCAGCCTACCCAGTTTTCGATTTATCCCAAAATGTGACCAACACAATAATTTTTTTTGTTGGCCTTACTAAGGGGGCAATCATTTATTTAGTTTTCTATAGGACTACAGTAGGAATACTTCTCTAAAGTGTTAATTGGCAATCATCATTCATCCCATACACTTTGATTGATTGATGTAGTACTGGACCACAGGGCTAAATTCCATGGTTGAGGCATAACATTTAATATGGAAATTAAGATTTTAAAAAGAGGCCTTTCGAAACATCATAAATATTTTGTGTTCTTCTTTTGAAGACGGTGAGGTGCCAATAAAGTACCTATAGTCCTAGGATGAGTGATTGGGGGGAGTGTTCCTCTAAATAAGTGTAATTACAAATATTTATTTGTTTTTAAGCTACATTGTGAAGGAGAAAACAGACACCATTGGATCCACCATTGCAACAGAATGTTTAAGAGGGAGTGTTTCTCAAAATATCTGTATATAAGTTAGATATTTTTATAGTATTTGTTTTTGGTTGCAGCATGAAGGGGAACACACACACTCTAGGTTCCACCATTTATTCATTCATTCATTTGTTTGTTCATACATTTCCATTTATTGTCATTTGTTTCACAAATTATACGTAAAAATTATTTTTGCTTAGAGACACCATTGCATAGAAAAAAAAAACACATGAAACTAAACCAAAAAAATGCCTACAGACGTTATCATATCTCTCTCGTACAATAACATTAGTTAACGTTAAGTGCCAGAATACTTGCTAGGTAAAAGCTGTTTCGGTACCTATTTGTACAAGTAGTGATAGAGTGATAGCGCCTGCCACATGTAACGCTTTGAAGAGAGAATGCAAAGAATGAGTTTCAGTGTGTCTTTTGCAGCAGATATTTGATTGTCTGGCAACTTTTTAATAAAAGAGGAACTCCCTGAAAAGAGATACCATAAATATTATAAGATCAATGTATCATAGATACCAATGCCTTCTTTATCTTGTTCCAAACATTTACATAATCTGTGGGGTCATGTAAATAGGAAGGCAGGTTGACCTTTGCAGTCTAACTATTCTTTGCTTTTTGTTCTTCCTACTGTAGGCACTACTCTGATTGCAACGCTCTCTTGGTCGTTGTGCAAGTGTAAGAATACTCATTGATGCGTATAATTGTACGCCTGTTGACTTGACTGGGAAGGAATGCTGAGAAAACTGGCAGATTTCTGAGACACTGAAGTGTCCCCGAGTGGAAACAATTCTATTGGAGGTATTCTAGCGGTTGAAGCAGCCATGAAGCTTAAGCAACGATTTGCAATATTTGCAACATTTGTTGGGTTTATGGTGTTAGGATCTCTCTGCTATCTGAGTATCAACAATGTTGAACATGAAGCCGATTTGTCAAAACGTTTTGGGAAAGGCTTCGAAAAAGACTACATTCATCCTCAGACTGTGTACGATCCAAATAAAATTGGTTTCCAGGTTCGTAAAAAATTGGACAAAAGCGATTCTCGTTCAGGGTCAACGAAAAATAGTACTCAAAGACCAAATAAAGAAAATGCCTTAAATATAGCTAAACTAGAACAAAAGATATATGTTGCGGGTCAAAAGAACCAATCCAGGCCGCAGGGCTTTCCAGATGAGGGGAACTTTTTTAATATTTATCACAAATTTTCTCGTTTTGATCCACCGGTATTACCGAAAACTGTAGGCAAGTACAATGCTTTATTTAGAGATCATCCAAGTCAAAACTTGGCACCTAAGGAAGGATTTGTCACTCTGTTGAAGCCTCGAAAATCAAATAAAGGGTAAGGATTGTTTTGTTTTTTTGTTTGTTAATAAAGTTACAAGTTCAATGGACTTATCTGTTCATCCACAGGACTGCTCATATAGTAATATATAATTCATCATCTCTATTTAGTGTTTGTTTATTTGTTTGTGTATATAGTGCCTTCCTTTTTAGAAACTAAGCACTTTTTTCCACTGGTGATTGCATCCACAAGCTATGTTGTCATTAGGGCAGGAATAGGCAACCCCACCCTGGGCCACCGAGAGTAGGGACAGGGGGACAAGATCCCCGAGGCCCAAGCTTACCAGTCAGGGGCCCATAGAAATTGCACAGGTAGCTTTTTTTTCCCATATTCTTTTCAAAAATTATAATTACTATCATAGACCTTCAATAATGGCAAGGGTCCTCTAATAATGGCCCCTATAGATTGACAGGGAACCGCTCAAAAAATGTTGTTTCAAAAATGTCTCTCCCACGCTTCGTGCTCAAAGCTGGGGGCCCACACCAACCCCTGCCCCTGTTACAGTTTCACCTCTTGGCGGCCCTGACCCCACCCATTTTTTCTGCTGGGTTAAAATCGACACCTTGGGCTACCATAAAACGCGTATGATTATTGCTAAAAATATGACATCCAGTATGAGCTCAGTCTTTTTGTGTGCAATTACAAATGGTGTTCATCTACAGGTGTAGGTGTGGTGCATTTGGTCAAGAACTAATGCTATAGCAGGTTAGTTTGTATTTGTTAGCTGAAGTGTGATTGATATTGAACAAGTGTAATTAACCTATAAGTAGTTGCATATTCATATATCATCAACATCAAACTTGATGACTTCAGTTTTCAGGTGGTTTTTTAGAACTCATCATACAAGTAGGGCAGGAAACAAGTTCATTAACGGATTTAAAGGAACGGGCGTGAGGGGATTTATGGTGCCTTCCCCTCTCCCCCCTTCCCCATTATATATTTTTGTAGAGAAGAGTACAGTAAGTGCCAGGAAATGACCATGCTAAATATTTGAAAAATGATCAGATACAACTTTAAATTAACAAGAGTGATAGAGCTTCAAGGGAGATGAAAGGGGGTTGAACCCCTGCTATGGAATCTGCTGCAAGACTCTTGATTTTACTGTACTAGCATATTATGGAACCCCCTCCCATCCCCCATTATTAACCCTGTACAGGCTGGATCAGCCTCTGATTGAAATATTTTATGGAGCAAAAAATTGATCACCACCATAGAGTAATGTATAGTATGTTGGGTTTTTTTTCAACTTGGCCGTGTTTTAACAAAATAGAGAGTAGAAAAATATTACATTGCTGGACTAGTCTTAGTATAACCAATTCTGAGATATTATACACAAATAAATTTCATCCAAATTATTGTCAGCATGCATCTTAATTTATACTGTATACCTTTCTTTCAGTTGAGCCTACTACTGTATATGCTACTACTATATTTATCCTAATAAAATATATAAAGCCATTAATCATATTATTTTTGCTGTTTAGTTTCACTAAACCGTGATATCATTGGAGAATTGGATAACAAATTAAATCTGGTATACCAGAAGTACTATTAATTAAACCATGAAGGCAGTAGATTAAACCATTTCTAGTATTACTATAATGTCCTATTCAATTTACTTTAGACAATTTGTTTCTTTGACATTTGTCTTTGTCACAAGGATTTAAAAGTTCATAATTCAAATATTATGAATGTTTAATTGCATTTACTGTATATCATTCTTATGTAATTTATGCTATTTTGTTTGAAGACAATGTACATGTGTATATGATATTCTGAAAAATATTCAAATATTAATTTTATGTTCATTCTGAACTTTCCGTAATACTCTTTTTAATTGTCTGTCGTGTCACCCTTTTTTAGAATATTGTGTCTTCCCATTATAGAACCCTTATATGGTCTCTAACATCAATGGGATTGAAAGGGTTCAACAAAATTTAAGATACTTCATTGGACAATCGCCTTTTATTAGCGAAGGCAAACCATTCCTATGTTCCATATGAATCCATATTTTGTAATGGTTTCTCTTTCACAGAGGCAGAGGTGTGATGACTTAATTGTGTTTCCTTTTAATAGATTCCTTAATGGTTATACCCCAAAATTATTTTGAATTTGTATTTAACGTAATGCGTGATTTTTTCAACTCTGTGCAATAGTAAACCAAAGATGTAACAAAGTTATTCAGTAACATTTATTCAAATTGAAATATGTGAAAGTAAACAATTAATAGCTATAAATTACGATTTAGGAATCAGATTAGAAGTCAAAAACTTGTCTCAAAATGATCCCTTAACAAAAGAGAATGTAATATATATAAAATAACATTTTTTAAATAAATATATAAATAAACAACATGCAAAAATTGTATCTCGTATCAGATTATGTTTCTCTTAATTTAGGATTTTGTCAAATGAACGGTATAGAACATGTGATTTAAATTATATCTGCATAATTTGAAAGATATTCTTTTTTTTAAGTTTTTCTGAATAAAAGTAAATTACTGCAACTATTGATTTCATCTGTAATTTCATTCCATAATTTAGGACCATAGAATTTAACAAAAAAATTGAGTCTTTGTAAGTCTTGCAAAAGGAATGTCTAGTCTTCTTGTTTTTCTGAAATTATGCATTAATTGTATTTACCTGTGCAATAGATAATTGAAATCGAAATTGGTAATGAGTGATTTTTATATTGGTACATAAGGGATAAGACCTGGATTTTATGAAGATCAAAAATATTTAAAACATTCAGTTTCTTAAATAAGGGTTCACTATGGGACATAGCAGGGGATACACAAATAATTCGTACAACACGTTTCTGTAATTTATATAATTTCATAAGATTTGAAGGATAATCTGCTGCCCAAATAATATTACAATATTGTAAGTGTGGAAGAATGAAAGAGTTGTATAAATTAAGGAGTATGAATTGAGGAAAGTACTTTTGTACCTTATTTATAATCCCAATATATTTTGAAATTTTGCTAGAAATACGTTTTTGATGAGTAGACCAGGTTAAATTTTCATGAATTACAACACCAAGAAAAAGGGTTTCTGTTTTACGTTCTAAAATGGTATTATTAAGAAAGAGATTATGGTTAATGCCTTTTAGTTTAGAATTTTTACAATGAGTATGAAACAGTATGTAATTTGATTTAGTAGCGTTTATTAAAAGTTTGTTAGCAGTGGAATGTTCAATACAATTCATCAATATTTTCATTAGAATAGTATAGTATGTGGTATCATCGGCAAAGGAAACAACATGTAGAGTGTCACTAACACATGTCAGGTCATTTTAATACATATATTAAGAATAACAGCGGTCCAAGCACAGATCCTTGTGGCACACCACATGTTATTTCCTTTGTCGATGATTTACAAGCACCGATCTGTACAAATTGTTTACGATTCTCAAGATAACTTTTGAACCATTCATATGGAACATCCCTAATACCATAGTGAAATAATTTTGAAAGTAAGATGTCGTGGCTATACTACATCAAATGCCTTAGTAAATGAATAAATATTAAATGTACTTATTAATTCATTCTGTCACAGAGTAATTGAAGAGTGGAATTCCCTATCAATTAGTATTCTAAATCTACGTCGCTTTTGTTCTTTCAAGTTACATATTGAGAACAATTTTTTGATTAATTAATGCCTCAGCTTGTTTATTTTTCTATTATTGTAATTATATACCTGTTTGATTTCAGGGATGACATACATTTGTACAGGAACAGTATTCCTCCTTGTCATGCCCTTCTTTTTTTGTTGTTTTGTGTACTTTGCAGAAAATAAATATATTATTATTATTATTATTATTATTATTATTATTATTATTATTATTATTATTACTAAATCATTTAATTGCACATTCAAAAGGATCAAAAATAGTTTCAACATTGTTAATGTTGGATTCGAATTGTTTTGCCAGTGTGACACATGTGGTAGTCCAGGCCCGGGGATTTATCAATCTCAGCTTAGCAAATGCCTTAAGTCAAAAATGTTAAGATGTCTCCAATAAATATCTTAAGCTGATTTATTACCCAAATTTAGCAAAATCTTGGCTTAAAAATTGTCTTAGATAGCGCCAATGTACAATCAACTTTCTAATTTTAAGCAATTTTTAAGCTAAGCAATATGGATAAATTGGACTTAAGCAAAAAAATGGACTTAAGACGAATTTAAGCTGATTTCTAGATTGATAAATCTGGCCCAGGACCTTAACAACAAGGTTCCTTCAAACTTAAAGACACAGTAGGCCTGCATCGTTAAATCTTAAAAAAAACTCTTAAAAATTTGATAACATAACTGTAGCTTACTACAACGGATCTAATTAAAGTCATTTACTCTCAATTGTACACATATCACATTTACCAGCCTTTTTACTACAGAGATGCTTAAAATTGATTGTTAGACTTCCTACTAATATAGTAAAGTACTGTATAGTCACTTTATCGACAAAAACTTATTCAATGACAAAATACAATTCTAAACATAAAATATGATAAAAACTAAAAAATTGCAAGATATAAAAGCTAAAATACATCAGGAATAGCTGATACATTACAGTACATAAAACATACACTAAAACCATCATAAAAGTTGACATCATTACCAAGCTAAAAATGGAAGGAAATTTGTCATTATTTATGCACTCATTAATCACCATGGAATTATTTTTCTTATTCTAATTTGCAATTTATCTAAAAGTACTTAAAGAAGTAAGCATTTGAGATTGAATTTTATTAGGTCATCACTGACAATATCCTTTTTATACCTACGCTAAGTAAAAGTACAAAATATATAATTATAATTGACTATCAAACAGTTAACAATTTTTTATATTATTATTATTGCAATTTGGTATGCAAGACATTTTTCGTATATAGTGTACATAAAATGTATTTATAACATATAATTTCCAACTAAGTAATGTTACTTTGCTGCAAAATTGTGTAAACAACATTTGTGAATGTTCTATTAACATTTTGTGTT